GCACAGCCCCTGTGCCACTCGCTCCACGGTCACAGCCGCACCCTGTGTCCCAGGCATAGTTCTTCCTCCCCAGAGGGCCCGGGTGAGGGAGTGTCCTACGGGGGGGGGGGGGGGGGGAGGGGGAGAAAATTTTGAAAAGGATCCAAAACATCTCTTAGCTCTGGGATTAGGGGCCAGAAAAATCACCTTGCAGATAAGAATCTCGAGGCTGAGTCCCCCAGACCTTTCTCTCTCCGTGCAGTTGTGGCACCCGGGGCAGACGGGAGGTGAGGTGAGGTTCCCTGCCACGGTGACTCTGGAGACCCTGGCAGGAGGGCGTGGAGCCCAGGAGGGCGCAGGACCCCGAGGTCACGTGCTCAGCCTCAGCGCGGGCCGGGCAGCGCCTGCGCCCCACTCCCTGTACAGTACTTGATTACAGTGATTATTACAGATGCAAATTAAGACTTATTACTATTGTGAAATAACAATGCAGGTTAATGATATTCTTTATTGCCATGCTAACGTTTTTTGCTAGAGGGGAAAATTATAGGCATGAAACCAATTAAGCAACCTTCCTTTCTCGGAAGCCTCTTTGGTTTTCCCAAACGAAGATTCTCTCTGTGCTTACTGCTCCGTGGTGCAGACGGACGCGCCCGTTTCCCAGGTGTGTCCGAGGTGGACACGCACGTGGCGCCGTCCATCCTGCCCATGCCAATTCAAGATGAGATGCTGATACACCATCTCACAATGGGCGCTCGTAGCAGGAAGAGCAGATACCGTGAAATGCTTATTTAGTGGCCATCCTCCTGGAGAGGAGCTGCCCTGGACGGCAGCTGCCCCTCCCGCCGCCGCCATGGGTGCCTCGCTTCCCGGGATGGCCACAGTGGCTGCGACTGTCCAGAGTTGCCCCTTCCTCTAGGTCCGCCGACTCTCTGCCCAAACCTTTCACGTAGAAGGACGTCATGTGCATGTAGCGTTCATGTTGCTGTGGTAACCAGAGAATGCCACCCGTGTGTCCGTTTCACACACAATGAGGGGACAGCTGTGCCGTCCACGTCTGCCAGCGGCATAATAGATGTGATCCAGGATGGCCTGGGTCAGAAATTACAGCTCATTTATACCAATCGGGGCTTTCAACAGCATCCAGCCCCGAGCTGGAGAGAGCAAATGAAGGGACTCAGCCAGTGCAAAAGCCGTTTTCATATCACGGCCTCACCAGAGTGCCGGGCAGGCAGGGCCGGGCAGGCAGGGCCAGTCTGTGGGCACTCGGGTCAGTCCACGTCGGTGTGTCTATTGTAAGTTTGAGTCTGGTTTCTTCATGTCAGAGGGGTGATTTTCAGTACTAGGTGTGACGGGTCCAGCCAAGTTACACGTAACGTTGGTTGTGGTATTGAGGCAGAGCCTGCCCGCCGGGCAGCCCTCGCTGCGGGGAGCCCGCCCTCCAGCTCCAGGAGCCAGCAACCTCGTTACCAGTGAGAAAATTGAGGCTAGTGCAGTTAAGAGACTGATCCAAGATGGTCCAGACTCGCTAAAAGTGACCCGCTAATAGCTGCTCACCAACCAATAACTCAGAAAGTTGCTAGCAACACCCTACCTGGGCTAGACCTTTCGAAAATATTCCAGATGAAAGCAATGCAACAATATGTAAGCCTGAATAATGTTACTGAAAAAAACAACTGTCACACAATAGGGTCTATATTTGCGTTACCGAATAATGAGCTTCAAGGTAGTACAGGGCGTATAAGGTCTGGAAATACACACAATATTTTATCATGTAATGTAAATGCAGTGTCAGGAAACCATTTATTAACATCTGTCGGTGCCTGACACTTGGAAGCTACAGCATGTAATATATCTACGAAGTGGGTGAGTGATAATAGGCTAAGACTAGAACATTTAGAAGCCAAGTTCATTGAAGACTTTAGAACGCCTGATCCCTGTTCAGCCACTGCAGTCCTGAATTTTACAGTTAGATTTTAATTTTTGTCTCTGTTTGCACTTTGAGCCAAAAGAAGAGAGAATACATATTTTCCTAACTTCATCTATATAATTATAATTTCATCCTAAATAAAATATTAATCAAAGCCCTATTCATGAGTTAAAGATATTTCCACTGTTCCCAGAAGCCAGAGTACGATTCTGAAGTGGAACGTACTTTATCTCCAGATTGGCTTCGCCCAAAATAGATGTTTAGCATAATGATTTTGAAAAATTAAATGCAATATTTGAACAACCTTACATTAGTGCTTAAGTGAATCATTCAAAGAACTATTATTTTGTAGCTTAAAAATACATTTTAAGAATGCATTATGAAAGTTTAGTAAAATGACATCCAGGTCCTATAATTTACCGTATTTTATTTATGGCTTAGGCCCCATGGATGGTGGCATAACAGTTCTGGTTATTCATATTCTGATATTTATATCCTACTCAGCCAGCTTGGGGAGCAGCACGGCCGCTCTGCGGAGGCAGATCTTCTCCAGGGCCCGCTGGGTTTGCTCCCAGGAGCACCGCTGCTTTAGACTACGCGGTACAGCAGCTCGGGTCCAGGGGCTGGTCTCACTAGGTTCAGAGCAGGGAGGGATGTTCCTTTGCCCTGTGAGTCTACCAGACAGCCCAGAGCTACCTGTGCTGTTATTCAGAACCGAGGCCGCAGCGGGTGGGGCTAAGGCTGCGGCGGTGGAGTGACCCCGTCCCGTGAAAGAGCTCTTGGTTACCTTCGTCCCTCTCACTGCGCTCAGGCAGGACAACAGCCCGAGACAGGGTTGCACCAGCACGAGGCTTTGATCATCATCGAGTCTCCACGTTTGTTTCCAAAACACCCAGGTGCTCACTGCCCAGCGACTGGTTTACAGCCTAGTTTAGAAATGTCCAGTGCGCCCTCTGGTTAGCCCAGGCCCCTAGGGAAGGCAGAATCCAGGGTCAAGAGCCACCGAAGAGTTCATCATAAGACTTGTTACTTTCATCCGTCTAGAAACCTTGAAGACAGATGCTGCAATCTTGGCGATAACAGTTTCTTATTTAAATTTTACTCAGCTCATTTTTCCCCTCCTGGGAAAATACTGTCTTACACGTAAAAGCTGCTGAGCCCGCAGCTTAGGAGAGAACTTAAGGAGATATGTACATCAGCAGACCAGGCTCTGTGGCCTGCACCTCCCTCCACCCCGAGCCCTCAAAACAACGCCTTTTTTGAAAAATGTGTTTTCCCCTTCCTTGCACAGGCCTATGAAATACAGGGGCAAAGGTGATCAGTGCCAGGAGCTGCCCCTCCCGGTGTGTCGGGTGACAGAAGGGATGGTGTGTCCTGGGTACACCTGGCTAATGTGAGCCCAGGCAGAAAGACCCTGTTTTGGGGTCTGCTGTGTGGTCACCCTCCCATCCCCCCACTGTTCAGTCCTGCGGCCCCTCTGGCTCCGTCCCCCCAGTTCTGCAAGCTTGGTGCCCTCACCAGAGTAATTATGACTGGACAGTGAGCCTCCAGTGAGATCGTCACGTCGGTCAACTACCACTCTCCACTGCGGTGTGTCCCTGAGGACGCAGAGCAAATGTGAACAGGAGCGGGATCATTACACAAAAAGAGGTCGCTCGGAAAGTTGAGAAGTCAACACCCACGGTCTCAGGCCACCAGCAGCAGCCAAAGTTGCCCGCTGCCGTATAAGCGCGTTCCCCGCGTTCCCCTAACTAGCCCAGGACGTCCGGCCTGGCGCTGCCTAGCACCCACAGCCAGGTAGGAGCCCGCAGAGCTTCCGGTACAATAGCACTCGGAGACTGGCTCTGCAATAAAGGGGTCAGCGTGCCCAGGAATCCCCAAACAGAGAGACTCACAGTGCGCCTTTATTCCGGGTTCTTAAGGTCTATTGTCAACTAAAGACTCCTTGTCTTTTCAAATTCCTTCGTGTGAATGGATGAGGCCAGACATCTGCCAGGATTCGCTCACATTTGCATGCAAATCAGAGACGGGGACACACATGGCCCCAGGGACCCACAACACCACTTTCACTCCAGACGCAGATCAAAGTGCCTTCCCGAACTTTCCACTCCTCGGCCCAGCTCTCCGATGAAATCAAGAACAGATTTGAGAACTATTAATTATTTAGGCCATGGTGGTGGCAAAACAAAACACCATGTTCCGAAAAGCCTAGCAGCAGAAGCCAAGCCAGCAGGACCTGTTCCCCACGAACCCGGCGTTCCTGGTTGTTCTGGGCCTGGCAGTGGAAGTAGCAGGGGTGCCCTGCGGTTTAGAAAAGGGCTCATTTTCCTGAACTCCCGGTTCAAAAGCCTGCAAACCACTGGCATCCCCTTACTCACTCACTCACTCACTCATTCGTTCATCGCGGGGCTCACCCCTTCACGCAGGACAAGCGCTGTGCTTGCGGGAACTCGGGCAGGCCGGGTCCCGCCTCCCCAGCAGCTGCAGGCAGGATCTCCTGGCCCCAGTGCGGGCGCCCGGCGTGCCCTGATCCGGGGCTGGGCTTGGCCACCTGTCCGCCGCGGGGCGGCCCCTCCACCCCAGCCTTGGGGGGCGGCGCTGCGGGGCCCACAGCCCCCTCCAGCCGCACAAAGGACACTTGCCGGCAAACTTTACTGGATCCGGACGCGGTCGGTGGGGAGCCGGCGCGGGTGGCTCCAGGCGCGGCTGAGCCCGCGCGGCCTCCCCTCCGCACTTAGTTGCGCGGCTCTTCCGCGCCGACCCCAGGCCCCGGCCGCGGGTCCCGCCCGGCGCCTTCTCACCCGCAAGGCCGCGCCGAGCCCGCGCTGCTCTCGCCCCGCAGCCGGCGACCTCCCGCCCCGCGGAGCAGCCCCTCCCCGCCTCCCCGGCCGCGGCCCCCCAGCCCGCCCGCCCGCCGGCGCGTGCCCCGGTCGGGGGCCGCGGCTTCTCGGTGCCCCGACTCGGTCGCGCTCCCCGCTCGCCAGCCGCGCCCGACCCCAGAGCCCGCGCCCGCGGCTCCCCGGCCCTCCCGGCCCGCCGCGCCGCAAGTTTGCCCCGCGGTCCCTCGCGCCGCCCGGGCGGGCGCACCTACCTCGCGGCCGGCGGTGTCGGGGCGCGCGGCGGCGGCGGGAGGCGAGGAGGCCGGCGGGGCGCAGCGGCGTCCGCCCCCAGCCCGCGGCGCGCGGCGGCTCGGGGGCCCGGGCCGAGCCCCAGCGCCCGGGGCGAGGCGGCGCCAGAGCAACAGCTGCGCGGGCCTGCGCTCCCGGCCCTCGTCCGCGGCAGGGCGGGCCGGCTCGGGCGAGGGGCGCGCGGAGAGCGGCGCGGAGGGCGGGGCCGCGGGCGCGGGGCCCGGGAAGGCGCGGGGCGCCGGGGAGGGCCCCGCGCGGCGCCGCCGGCCCCTCTCCCCGCGCGAGAGCGCCGCAGGCAGGCGCGGGCCACGGCCTCGCCCAGCTCCGCGCGCAGCCGGCGCCCTCGGAGCGCCCCGCTTTGTGCCCGCAGCCGGCGTGCACCTGGGGTAGGCACCGCGGTCAGCTGACGGGCTGCGCGCCGATTGGCCGCCCCGCGGGCCCCGCCCCCGCGCCCCCGCGCCCCCGCGCCCCCGCGCCCCCCGCGCCGCCCCCGCCGGCCCCGCGCGGGGCACCATCTGTGCCGCCCGACAAAGGCGCAGCGCGGCGGCTCGGGCCCCGCCATCCTGCGCGCCGCCCGCTGCAGGGAGCCGCCGCCGCTTTTTGTCTGGGCCGCCGGCCGCGGCGGGGCCGGGAGGCAGCGCGCACGGCCGCTCCCCGAGAAGCTCGCCCCCAATCCTGCCTGCGCGGGGGCGCCGGCCTGCGCCGTGGGCGGCTCTGCGCGGCGCGGAGCGAGGGCGCGGGGCCGAGGAGCGACCAGCCCGCCCGGAGTGGCCCCTGGTCCTCACGCCCCGCCGCGCCCCGCGGGTGCTGCCCGCCGCGGGATGGTGGGTTCCGGCGCCTCGGCGGGTGGCGCAGCCGCCTCCGATTTAGGGAGGTGCAGAAAGCTCCCCAAACTTTGTGATGACAGCTCTCTGCCCTGCTAGGCGTGAAAGTTGGCTTCGAGTGAGTGAGGGGCTGAGAACGCGGCCTGAAGGGGGTGTCCGCGCGCCCCAGGGAGCGGAGGGAGGGGTGGGTCTTTGAGAGCCGCCCTTGACCCAGCCTCACCTTCCCGGGCAGGCGCCCAGCGGGAATGTCCTTCTCGCCAGCATCCTCGCCCTGCGGACAGCTCTGGGGAGAGCACTCGGGGACGGGTCCTCGCTGGCTGCTCGCAACCCCTGGGGACCCCGGCAGGACGCGCCAGCGCAGGGTCGCATTCGGAATTCCGTGAAGAGCGGCACGTTTGGCACAGACATCTTATACCTCGGCCCCACCGCGTTCTTGGGGTCTCCCCCGCGTCCCCCGTTGTGTGCTGCTGTTTGGTGTCCATGAGCTTCATCCTGAGGCTGCTGTGCGGGGAGCACTGGGCCTCGCGCCCTAGGTGGAAGCGGGGAGCAGAACAGCTCCCCCAAAGGCCGGGTGCAGCCAGGGCGGGAGGGCCTGGCAGTGCAAGGCTAAGACTCTAGAGCTCTCCAAGCAGATTGGGTCTCGAGCCTTCCCCCAGAGTCGTGCGGCCCTCGCTCCCCCTTCCTCACAGGGCTGCAGGCGGCTTGGCGCTTGTGGGGGGAAGGAGGGCTCTGCTGGAGACGGGACCCTGAAGGACCAGGGAGGATGGATTGGGTCTCCTCGGGGGTCTGGTTTTTCTGTGAGTGGGAGGGAGACAGGCAGTAGTCTGCGGAGGGGGGCTGTGAGAGGCAGGTCTTGGGGGGCAGTTGAAGCAAGAAATGGTGGTGGGGATCTGCCTTTTTAGGAGGTGTGGCCATCACAGCCTCTGGGGCTCGCAAAAGGCTTCTTGACAGTGGCCCAAAGCCCCCTGGGAAGAAGCCAGGTCTCTGAGCACCGAGCGCAAGACTGAAATCAGACTAAGCCCCGGCACTGCAGTTGGGGAGCTGGGTCCTTCGGGGCCAGTCGCTGCACCTCTCGAAGCCACCGTTTCCTTGGCTGTAAAGTGGAGTTAGTCCCAGCGCCTGTCCCAGGGCCGTGGGGGTGGAGGGAGCAAGTGGACCAGGGCGTGGCGCCATGCAGGGTGGCCTGCAAGCGGTCCCCAGAGGCCAGCGCTGGGGTGCAGCCAGGGGCCGGGGACAGAGCAAGGCGTCCGGTCAGACAAGTGGGGCGCTGATGTCATAGAGCTGACGCTCGGGACGCTAGCCGCCCCCCGAGAGGCGGGCTTTGTGCCCCCGCTATTCCAGGTCAGTGTCTCCCAAAACCAGCGTATCATTTATTTAAACCAATCGTCCTCTTCCCCGAGGCAAGGGTGAGAACGGGAAAGTGGCCTGTTTCTGCTTGGCCACTGTGCTGACTTGGCTCCGAGCAGGAGCTTCAGACCAGCAGGAGCTGTCCTGGGGCGCAGGGGTCGGGAGAGGACAGCTCAGGCGCAGCTCACGCAGGAGCCTGGAGCATGGGCCTACATGGTTAGTTGCGCCAATTTTAGGGACTCCCGTTTTGTAGCTCTGCGAGGGGTTGCTTTATCACCTGACACTTAAAGCCTCTGGTCTTGCAGCTGAACGAACAGGAGGCGCCCCATCAGCGGGCTCTTTTCTCCTTGAGAATCTCCTTGGGGAGCCTCAGATTCATATGAATTACTCCTCTGAGCACCCCTGGACCTGGGGTCCTGAATTTATGAGTAAGGAGGGACTTTACCTTCCTACCTATTTATTTTGGTCTTTGGGGAAGGCCAGGAGGCATTGCAGGGTGATGGGGGTGGAGGCAAGGCCCTCTCCCCGGAGGCCCCGGGCGCGGCCTTCCTGTTGACAGGAGAGCTGGCTCCTGGAGACCAAGCAACCCCCCTGGGCTCCCCTGCCAGCCCTGGGGGTTTTCCAGCTTTGGTTTGAAGAAACATTATAATTGCTTTAGCCTCCTCGTACTGATCTCTGTGGAAACGGGGAAAGAGGGTGAAACTTCAGGGTGATCATCTTAGAAGACTCTCTAACACCAGAGCTGTACCTTGAGAACAAAATTATAGCATGCCGTTGAGCTCCACGGCTTTCAGAACTTGAAAATAGGGCTCTCTGAGATGAGGCACTAATTGAGCGCTGGTCGTCAGGGTTCCCGCCAGCCTCTGAGTTAATGCTGTCATGTCACAGCCACCGCCCCCCCCAAGCCCTGGGAGAAGGAACTGTGCCGTGGCCCCCGTGGCCCCGGTGGCCGGCCGGGCCAGACGTTCTCTGCCCGGCGCTGCCAGGCATGGGCACTTGGGTCACATGCTTCCCTGGTGCTCGAGGCCATTCCAGGGCCAGCAGAGGGGCTTCTGCGGCCGAGATGGAGGCTGGCAGCTAAGGCGATCACATACCCGGACAGTTCCCCTGTGACTCTCCGGGCTCAGTCCTGACAGCACCCCCTCTGGTGTCCCCTCGGTCCCTGCAAGCCACGACAGTGGGCTGTTCCGCAGGGAACTCGCAGCGACAGACCATGGCCCGTCAGGGAGGTCGTGGAGCACAGCCTCGCAGACACACGCACGCCCTCACGCCCACCCTGCTCCCCCCAGAGCAGGCACTGTCAGTCTGACTTCGTTTTCTGAAAAAGTCTTCATTTTTCTGTGAAGTAACCCTGGTTTGCAACGCTGCACGGGATTACAGAGTGCAGGCTCACAACTCCTCAGATGTGCGTGACACCCCCGCTCAACCACAGCCCCCCAGACTGCTGGGCCCCTCTCCCCTTTACTTTTACCCCTCCGCCCTCCCCTCTGGTGTGTCTCATTCTGCAGTCACGTTTCTGGGGTTAGGTTGGGATCCATCTCGTCCCGCCCACTCCAGTTCCTTCCACGTTGCCACAGGTGGCAAGAGTTCACCTTTTTCATAACCAAGTAGTGTTCCCTTGTGTACACAGACCCCAGCTTCCGGTCCACTCCTCTGCCCGAGGGTTTCCCTCACTTGGCTGTTGTCAAGGGACACAGGGGCAGGCACCCCTGCGAGTGGCGCTTTTGCATGCTCTGGGTAGAAACCTGAGCGGGGTCCCCTGGTCTTTGGAAAACTAAGTCCTGTCGTTGAGGTTATAGCTAAGTTTAAACTAAGCCTGTAGTTTAGGCGAAGTCCTGCCTCCCAGGACTCCTGCTTAATAATCAACCTCCTGTTTAATAGATGACGAGGCCGTGCTCTGGGGTGTAGACGGGTAGACTGGACGTGGTTTGAAGGCAGGGGCCGGGGGCCAGCTCCTCGCCCTGCGCCCGCATGGGGTAGGCACTCAGGAGACATTTTTCTTGGAATGAATTGAATCAACTAACAATCGAATGTCTTTATGTAACTGGATCACATTATCTGATGACCGTTTTTGGTATTATTAAAAAATCTTTGCGGCTGCAATACTTAACGGCTGTGTGATTCCACCGGTCTTCTTGCTGGCGGTGAGAAATAAGGACTTCATCGACTCTGTGCTGTAGCACACGTCATCATAAACATCCTTATTAGACATGCCCGCTTTGGTTATTGACCTTAGGTACATAAACTCTAGTTTTCTATTTTCAGTTTAGGCAGTTGAGTGTTACTAGCAAAGGGTTATTTGGTTCTTTTACTTTTGAATTGCGGAGATTTTTAGCTGATCAGAGATTTTTACAATCAATTTCTTTGTTTTCAGTAATCAGCTCTCCTTTCTGATTTCTCCTTGGCTTGTCCCAGCAGCCCCTCGGGCAGGCCCCACGCTCACACGGCTTCCTGCGCCGAGCCCAGCGATGCGCGTGGCGGTGTGCGTCTGGGCCAGCTCCTGGAGCTCGCTCTGACAGTGCCCGTGCGTGGGGTTTGTGGGGTCACAGGGAGGAGTGCACGCAGCGGACAGCCAGTGTTCCCCGACGATGGATGCCTCTGCTGGTTTTCTGCTGGCTGTGCCTCCCGGCACGTGCGCCGCAGGGCCCCAGTGGCCTGGGCACAGCGGGCTTATTCCTGCTCAGGTGACAGAGGACGGGCTGGGCGGTCGCTCAGGGCTCAGGCTGCTCCCCCTTTGGGGCCTCCCCCATCTCCTGCGATGGGCTCTTTCGCTTGTACGTGGAAGAGGGGAAAAGGGCGAGAAAGAGGAGCACTTTTGGGGCTAGCCTGA